TTGCTCACACGCACTCTCCTTCCTTCCTTCACACACACCAGCACCCTCCTCCTCTTTTCACTCACTTTCATGCACCTTCCCTTTAATTCTCCCCCCCCCCCCCCCGCAGGCCTTTCTTCGCTTGCTCACACGCACTCTCCTTCCTTCCTTCACACACACCAGCACCCTCCTCCTCTCTTCACTCACTTGCATGCACCTTCCTTCTAAGTCTCCCCCACCCACCCTGGCCTTTGCTTGCACCACTGCTCTCCCCTTCCCGCTTTCACTCACATGCACCAGTGCCCTCCTTCCCTCTTTTGCTTGCTTACACACACCATGCCCTACTTTTCTTCTTCACTCGCTCACACCAGTGCCCTCCTTCACTCGCATGCACCGTGCCCTCCTTCCCCTTTCAGTCACTCACATGCACCAGTGCCCTCCTTCCCTTGCTCACACACACCAGCACCCTCCTTCCCCCTTTGCTCACTTGCATGCACCACACCCCTTTTGTGCTGCACTGTGGCTCTGGGACTTTGCAGGAAGGAGAAAGCTTCACAAACAGCCAGCAGCTTCCAACATGAGCTACAGAGAGTGTGCTGGAAGTGCCCCTGGAGAGTCCTCGAACAAGTGAAGGAGGCAAGGAAGGCACTGTGTGTGCGAGCAAGCAAAGGGGGAAGGAGGGTGCTGATGCATGCGAGCAAGTGAAGGAGGGAACAGTGCATGCATGCATACAAAGGGGGAAGGGGGGCACTGTTGTGTGCGAGCAAGCAAAAGAGGGAAAGAGGGCATGGTGCATGTGTGCAAGTGAAAGGGGAAGATAGGGACTGGTGCCTGCGAGTGAGCGAAGGGCGAAGGAGGGCCAAGGAGCCCCTGCAGGGCCACCAAAAGGGCAGAGATGTGGGGAGAGATAAGTGGGTGGGTGGAGTTGGATGGAGTGGAGTTGGCAGTACCTTACCTTACCGAGGCTCAAGGCTGGGAGGGATCAAGCCTGGAAGGCCTCAGTTGGGGTGAGTCCTAGGCTAGCGACCAGTGGAATTTACTTAATGACAATGGAAAGTGCTGGGATTGCCGTCACTAAGCAATGTGGTCACATGATGTCTCACTTCATAACTTCATTGCGTAGCAACAGAAATTCCAGTCCCAATTGTGGCCCTAAGTCAAGGACTACCTGTAAGTCATTCTCTAGAGGTGCAACACTTAGTCCTGGATTTATGAGTTCTGACAGATTTTTTCGTTGTTTTAAATCATACAAGTGGTGGCTGCATATCTAACTTGGAAACATATAACAAGGGGTCTTGACAGCCTGTTCTGCTTGCACAGTTGGAGATGTAAATATCCCCCTCACAAATATGGTTTAGAGCACTTTGTGAATATGGCCTTGCTATACTGCTTATTCCCTCTGTCATGGGTACTGCTTATGTCATGAATGCAAGCTTACTTCTTGTATTCATGAATACTCACTGAGATTACAAAGCTGTAGTAAGAAACATACTTCATGTTCCAGTATCATTCCCATACTTATAACTTTATGGTTAAGGTAAGATTTGGAGCACAGCATGTTAACCACTCCTTTATCACCATTTTTATAAAACTTCCATTTGAATTAAGTACAAAACGCACAACAATTCACCTTTTGAAGGTCACTGCTCAATATAGAAACATACCATCTCTTGACATTCCTACCGACAAACATTTTTTGAATCGGCACTGCTGACACCTGTTTCTATTCATTCTCATTATAGAGCAGTTGTTACTCTTCAGGCACTTCTTGTATTGGATATTTTGCTGAATGCTTCTTCTAAAGAAACCCTGAAAAGAATAAGCAACTGTTTTAGATTTTCTTTTGCAAGCAAGCTTCCAACTGTATCATATGAATAGAATCTTGCATGCTTAACCTTGAAACTGATTAAGACTTATGAAATATTGTTGTGATTAAAAAAGATGGAATAAAATCCAAGCAAAAGACAATATTCTTCCTAAAACCCTAAAGAATATCAACCCTAGCCTTGATGACAGGACTTATTTAGAAGAAACTGAAAATATTTTAAATTTGGCAATTTAGCAAGTGAAACATAAAATATATTCCAGACACATCACCACCAAGTATACTTATTCCTGAATTTATATTTATTCATTGCTACCTTAAGCCATTTATATTAGAAAAATTACCTTGCAGCCTTCACAGGCATGGACCCCATAGTGAAATCCTGAAGCAACATCTCCACAGACTTTACACAGCAAGACCATGCCATTAAATTCTAAAAATGCAACAGTATGAAAACTCAGTAGTAACATGGGAAATGAAGCATAGATAGATTTGACTTGTTATGTAAAGGAATAGAATTTTGTACGCCTGCCTTCTCAGATTATTATCCATGTCTCATTGAATGGGAAATGTATTTTAATATAGGAGTCAGCAAATGATTAAGCTGTGTAGTATTATTTTTTACAACATGACATTGTGTCATTCTAGACATAAGCACTCTAGGAAGCCTGTGCAAAATGACTTTGAAATAAATCCTATTCCCCACTTCACTGAAACTCCTGATGAGTTTGAACCCATTGTCCAAAAATTGCTCTTCAAAATGCATCCAAAATTTTGAGATGCAAATGTGTCTCACTCTTCAATCTGCCTTAAAGCTAAGTATTAACTAATACTCATTGTACAAAAACAAAATTGTTTAGGGCAGCATAAAAACTGATACATCTGCTCTATGTAGTTGAAATGTTAGCCCTGAATTATGTCATAATACAGTAAATACAATAGCACAAATGTATTAGTTTTAAACGCCATCTGAAGATTTCTTATGCTGTTCAGAAACAAGGCAGTAAGTTTATCAAATAAACGCAAATGTGTCCAGCAAAAGATGGGGTGGAACAAAAAAAAATGAAAATGCTATCTGATGCTGACTTATGAATTGATGAAAATACCATTATTTATTATCATGTTGTAAGCAGGTTCCAAGTAGCAAAGATTTAGGGAATCAATGCTTCTAAAGATGTACAATTTAGATGCTAAAGAAAATAATTTCTGATTGTGGAGTTTAATTTTCTGGGTAATAAACAATCTAATGTTGTTCTCTGTGATTAAAATATTAGAAAGCCTGCAAAAACAACTAATTTATAAATGATTAAAGTTGGAAAAACTTAATTAGAAAAGCAGAGAGAGGTTCATCTACATGATTAGTACGACAAGTATTCAGGTATGCTTAGATAAGACAAAAATGTTTTAGGTGATTTACTATCTAATACAATAATTAGGTTTAATGCTTTTTCTAATACTCCTGACACCACTAATAATAAAATGTAATACACATTTTTAACATTTCAGAAATTCAAACCAAATAGTCACATACATCTCGTACTGAAGTATCATTGTTGAGTTTTGTTTTAATATAGTGGCATGTTCCTAGCACTGTACAGATAGTCCTTGCTTATTGGCCACAAATGGGATCTGCAACTCCATCACTAAGTGAAAAATCATGTGACCATGCTGGACTTATGACATCACTTCCGCTTCCACCATGGTCATTAAGTGATGCATCACGTGACCACAACTTGCAATTTCACTTCCACATTCTCCACTAACTCTGCTTGTTGGAAGCTGGTTGTGAAGCTTGCAAATGGTGATCACGTGACTGCAAGACACTGCAATGGTCATAAATGCGTGCCAGGTGCTAAGTGCCTGAATAGTGATCACGTGACCATGGGCCACTGTGATGGCCATAAATGCAAGGATTGCTTGCAAAGCTGTTTTTTTCAACCATTATAACTTAAAATTGTTGCTAAACAAGGCAGTCGGTAAGTGAGCACTACCTGTATCTAATAAAAAGCTTTAGGTTGGAAGTCAGTGGGAGCAAATGTGCAGTAATCCTGAAGTTCCAGATTCAAAGGCTGGTGTCTCCAAGCTAAGAAGTACAGAAATTAATGATGGGGGACACTAGCAACTGAGAGCTTAAGCACCTGCAGACAAGTAAATGAGATATTACAAAAAACATAATCAAGCCTGTTAGGAAACAGACTTATCTGTTCTTAACTTTACATCATGCAAGCAGAAAAACCTGGACATTGTGATGGTGGAACTTTGAGTTATTTTTAAATGTATTTTCAATACTTTACTCTGAAACAGTCTCCAAGAACACTTCAGATGCTAGGATTGTGCACACTTAGTAAATTATTCAGAAGAAATGCTTTGGACCTTATGCTAGTGCAACAGTTCTCTACCATTTTTTAAATCAGCTGCCTGTTTTTCAGGCTTCCATACAAGCCTGAAAAAAAGAGCTGCTAACTTTAAAGGTCACATTAACTTTAATAAGTGTTCCTTAAAGCAGTGAAAGCCTAATAGAAGAAAGGTTATTTGCTTATATGAGATCTAAAGCACTTCTTCTAAATTATTTTCAAAATGTGCACAGTTCTGTTACATAGATTTGTTTACTTTCATTCTGAAATGGGAATACCCCTTTCTCAATTTGAACTAGTATATTCCATCAGCAGCAATGCTGGGGGATTCCAAAATCTCAATTCTAAAAAGCTGTGCCTCTTGTGTTTTTAAATAGGAAGATTTCAAGACAGGGGTTCCTTTATAAACATTTCTTGATTTCTAATTTAATTGTGGGCCACAGGACAACATAGCCTGTTGGTCCCACTTTGATTATGAAACAGGAATATGCCAGTATGGCAGATTCTGGGCTGAGCATCAGAATTCCAGTTTATCTAGAAGAAAGGAAGCCAGAGGTTATGTGCTGAAGATAATACTACAGGCTACAGTCTGCTGCCAAACTTCAGATAAATATTAAATTATACTTAATGTGGATAATCTAAGGATCAATTCAGATGTTACAAGTTCTTCCTCTTGCTAGTCTCCTCTATCATTTAATATAACCACCTTATATGGTTATGTCTAACTAGAGTTCATCCAAAGAGCAACTGGAAGCTAGGAGCTAGAAAGGATTTTCATAGCTTCAATTATCAAACAAGTCAGTAGCAGTTTAATCATAAAAGCTAACCATGGGAAGAGAAAGGAGAATCTACAGGTTACAGAAAAATGAAAGGAGCCAGGAAACATGATGTCAGAACTGGGTCTTCTGCAAAAGAGCACAGTACTTACTTGTAAATCCATTATGACTTTTTGCTGCTGAGGTTCCACTTAATTGATTTGCCTTCGTGTGATTCTCTAACTGGTCAATGTTTGATCCTCCATCAGAGTGCTCTTTACTTTTGCTACTACAGCTCCCCTCAGAGGAGGAACTGTTTGGTGATGGCGGTACAGGGGAAGAGGAGGACTGAAAACTGTTTTCTGAGCCCTCGCTGTGACAGGAGGCAGGGCTAGATGCAGAGCTTGAAGAGCTGATGTAAGCAATTACACTTCCTGGAAAAGAAAGGAGTACAACTACTACCTTCAGTCAGACATCAGCTTTCCCCTCCCCTCCTCTTTGTATACCATTATTCCAAATGCCTTTTAATTTTCAGATTCAGAAATCAGTTTCTACTGCACCATCTGGAGCCTGAGATTCAAATTCAGCTACATCATCCTAAACAAGAGAATCTGCTTAGAGAAAAAACAAAACAAATGAAGTCTATTTGTTTTGTGAAGTCACAAGAAAAACAGTCAGTGGTGAATCCCAAGATATTGCAGTTTGATTTTCATATCTATTAGGCAGCAGGTATGGTAAGCCATCAAAACACAAAAGCCAATAAATTCTCGTGATTGCACTGACAGAAAGGCTTACTAAAATAGTTGTATTGCTTTCAGCAGTAGTGAACATTTTTTTAAAAAGTTTGCCTAGAGCTTGGAGAGCTAGTTTGTAAGTTTCCCAGGTCATTCAGTGCCTAAATGACCCTCCAGAATGGCAACTGCTAGAATATATTAAAACTTTTTATATATGCTGAGACAAATTAACAAAATTCCAAATATTGCAAATGGCCTTAGTAGAAATAAACAATTACTTTGGAAGCAGATGAAAAGGGCTAAACAAGGAACCTCCAGCAGAGTGAATGGAATTAAAAACAAAAGTGATGAAATGATTTGGGATGAAACTGAACTAAGGGAATGCTAGAAGTAGTATTTTAGATATTTATATGGCTATTGAAACAAATGCTGTAAATATTATGTCCGAGAAAAAAACTGATGAAAAGGAAGTTATAAATGTTGTTAGAATGTTGAAAAATGCAAGGCTGCAGTGTAACTGCAGAAATGTTGAAATGTAGTTTGCTTATAGAGTACCTATGCAACTTGCTTAACGTGTGCATGAAGACTGCATATATACATGATTGATTGGGCATATGACATTACTGTTTCCCTATTCGAAGGAAAAGGGATTAGCAGTACATATAAAATCTACAGGATAATTAAAGTCTGCCCTGGAAGTGGGCCAAATTCTGGTCAAAAGGGTACCAGAGCTGACAATGAGCAGAATTTGGGCAGTGCAATCTAAGAGGCTTATTTTAATAGCATTTTGCATGAAAAATACAGATTAGCATTCTCTCTTAGATGTGACCCAATATTAAATAACTTTCAACTGAATCAATGCCACTGTGTGCTCTCTAATATTCAGCATAAAATGGGAGATAAGGAAAACATGCATTTGAGCCCATAGCCACAATTATGGATGGTCTTTTAAAAATCACTCCATGGTACTACAATCATCATGTAGTGAGCTGCTATTAAGCTACAGCTCATCATGCAGATTGGGCCCTTTTGCATATAATTGAATTTTGTATGTAACTGAGATTAACTTCTTGTCTTGATGCCTCTGTAATACCCTTTAGGAAGTTACTGAGTTTAGACTTTAATAGCACTGAGCAGTGGCATTAATATGGAAAACACTAGGAAGGAAAAAATTAACACCATGTATGTCAAATGAACCAATTCTGTTGCATCATGAACAGTTAGGGAAATGGAGCTATGTAATGGATTGTCTCATGTAGTGCCATCTTACAACAAGAACCCAAAAATCTTTTCCGCAAAACATTAAATATACAAATACTATAGCTTAACTAAAAGTAAGAATCAAGAGTTAAATGTAACTGATGCTGATATAAATGTGTTTACACTTACAGTCTTACAGAACAGTTATTTACATATAAAGGCTTACCCAGGGCATTTGGTAAGGCTTACTAAGAGGTAACCATGAATAAGATCCCAGCTTCAGTAAGAATCTCACCGATACTCTGATTTTATTTCAGATGATAATATTAATAAGAACCACATACAAGGAATGATTTCTAAATGTGCAGAACACAGTCCTAACCCGTGCACTTACCCAGACATGTGCTCACTTCATACATTATTTGCAGTGAATGGAAGAGAATCAGACTACAATAAAAATCACATCTGAATAACAGGTTTTGAGAATGGAATTGTAAAAGCAGGGAATGATAATATGGGTACACTGGTGATGCATTTGTCATTGCTGCTTTGTGCCAAACAATATGAATTTTAAAAAATGGAATACTATTTCCAGGAGATTGAAAAAAAGAAAAAGAAAAAAAATCAAGGATACCTTCTCAAACAAATAGTAAATGTGTATTCTATTTTACAAAAACAGTGTTTTAATTTGTCCTGAAACACAGAATTCTGATGCAGATCTCCCTCACATTTTTATGCTGTTTTTCTTTAATATCCTACATAGTCGCATCTACCGTTAAGTATTAGCAGAATTTCCCACAAAACAATCTAGTAGCTTATTCAAGTCTATGTGCATGCTTTATCATAGAAAATGACAGCTAAAACAAGTGTAACAGATCTTTTAAGCAAAAGTTGGCTTTAAATTTTGAGTTTACACATGAAAGATATTGCCACTTCAATTTTAATGCTCAACTGACTCTATTTATTCTCAATCTAGTCTTTAAAAAAATTATTTTCTGCCATACATTTTAAAATATACAAGTCTCATCTAATCATATTGCAGCTTTTCAATAGAATGCCAACTTTAGACATGTAAATCTATGTTCACTTAGCATAATTAGTCATACATAAAGACTACAGTATTCATACAGGAGCTGGATTAGAACTTAAGAAGTACTGTACAGAGGAATATAATTAATTATTATGATTTAGCACCCATTGATGGCCCTAAGCATATCTATTGGTAGAAAATCATTCTGTAACGGACTCACACAGTCCCAATGCCAACTTGTTAAAACATAAAAATACTTTCAAATGTGTATGTGAGCCACCCCAAGTGGTTCAGAATCCATTAAATAAAAAGGAATACAGAAAAAATAGGAAACATTTTCACAGTAAAAGCAAATCTACAGTGAGACAACTACTATTTGATACTCATAAATAATAATGCTGACATCAAATTAATCAGGAAAGCGGGAGAAAATGAATGAGAACAGAGAAATAACGTTGCCTATTTACCTATGAAATATAATGGAGAAAAAAGGTCCCAACTTAATTTATGTATTTACAAATTCTTCATTTTGATGAAAATGGTAGATGGTTTAATAGTTAGCTCAGTTTGCAGCAATAAAATGACAAATTCCACTTTAGAAAATATTATGAAATAAAATGGCCAGTATCATTATGCTTTTACATAATCCATCCCCTGCCATTCTTCTGTTCTCTACTGTAAAGTACCATGTTATATGGATGGCACACAAAATAAATACACATACATATTTTGTGGTTCCATATGAAATACTGGGTATACAATTCTTCTTAAACTATCTCACAGTGATGTGCAGAAAACTAAGTGATTAATGGGCTTTCCTTACAAGGACAGATATAGAATTTACTGCAGGAAAAAGACAAGACAAAACACAAATCATTTTAAAACCATGAATGGGGTCCAGGAAACATAAAAGCAACTGCTTCCCTCTCTTTCATAGCAATATAACTTGCTTATACATGGCAGTAAACTGAAGACAAGCCAAAAAAATAAAAAACTACATCAAGCAATGCATAACTGACTGATTTGGCTGCCATAAGGTGTGAGATGGGCTACTGGCTTAGATGGCCCTCATGGCATACAGCCTGGTTATTTAAAGGGCTGTCTGTTTCCATAGCTTCCCTCATCCTATACAATCAGCCAGAGACAGCATGCTTTAGGTCCCATCAATTAGACAGCTTCACCTGATGCCACCCAAGAAGGTCTTCTCTCTCACAATACCTGCCCTCTAGAATGATGTAATCCCAGAGACTTGTATGACCCCCATGCTGACCTTATTTAAGCCAACCCTCAAAACCTGGTTTTTCCCCCAGACGTTGGGCAACATGGTTAATGGACTCCTTCTGGGACATTTGTTTTGGTGGTACTGGCATTCTTTCTCCAGATGTTTGCTTTCCATAGTCTCTGTATTACTGTATTTTAAATTGTTTCATGTTATATGCCACCCAAATTTAATAAATACAGTGGAACCTCAGTTTATGAACTTAATTCGTTCCGTGACTCTGGTCGCAACCCGAATTGGTCG